GCAGGTGTTCGAGAGGACCGGATCTCAGATCTACGCAGGCATACTCCGGATCTAAGCTTGGTCTTAGATCCCGAGACTTGGACGATTGTTTCCTTGGTGAAACAATCCTCCCCGGCTATTATTTCCTTGGTGAAATAATACCCGTCGTACTGCGTAGATCCGACCGGATCTAGATCTCGCGGTGGTCCACGGCAAACAACCCTGGCGCAGGCAAAGAACCCACAAAGCGAGCGACCGCGAAACAGGAGCTCGCGATTCGTTCGACACAAAAGGAAACAAATTGTAATCTTTGTTTATTTTTCTTCGATTTTCATTGTAATCGGATCTTATAAAAAGACCGGATCTTTTGTAACTCAAAAAGTTGTAACTCAAGATGACAATGGAATCAATAACAAAGAAACCTACGATTTTTCCCGCGAACATCTATATTTTTAGTATATGTAAAAAACACCTATGCTTTGAGATTCTTAGTGATTAAATCTGAAGTCCCTAGTATAGATATTAATACAACTGTTAATTTTCATGATGCAACATTTTTTGAGGATGTTTTCTCTATGAAAACTAGAATGCCTCAAAATATTGCTAATGAAAATCCTGTATTTGTCTCAACATCCATTCCTGGTCATGTGGAAAGGATGACAAATATTAGGGCAGATAATTCTAAATCTGAACTTGAAAGATTAGATGATTTAGATGAACTTAGAAGGAGTGAGAGAGGAAGGATTGTCAAGGATTTTAAAAGTGACTTTGTCACTTATAATTTTGAGGAGGATCCTACTTCCTACATATCTGCTATGACCTCAAAAGAGGCTAAGCAGTGGAAGGATGCTGTTAAAAGTAAAATGCATTTTATTATCTCTAATGGGACATGGTAATTAGTTGATCTTCTTCTTGGGTGCAAGACAATTGGGTCTAAATGGATTTTTAAAAGAAAAATAAAACCAAATGGAACCGTAAAAAAGCTTAAGGCCAGACTTGTTGTCGTGGGGTTCAAACAAGTTGAAGGAATTGATTTTTTTGACACATTCTCTCAAGTGGCTCGAATGACTACAATTTCATAATCCACCAGATGGATGTAAAAATTGATTTTCTTCATGGTTTCCTTGAAGAAGAGATTTATTTGGATCAACCCGAGGGATTTGTAACACCTATCAGTGAAAAGAAATTATGTAACTGGTGAAGTCTATATATGAACTTAAACAAACCCTTAAATAATGACATAAAAGGTTTGGTACGACTATCATTAATTTTGGTCTCAAAATGATTGAGTCTGATAAGTGCTTTTAAAGCAAGAAAAATGTGTTCATGTGTTCTTCTGTGTGTTTATATTGATGATATTCTATTGCTTGGATCAAACATTAGGATAATCAATGAGACTAAGTCATTCTTGAGTAGTAAGTTTGATATGAAGGACATGAGAGTTGCTGACGTGATTCTTGGCCTAAAACTGATTAGATTAGCTAAAGGCATAGTTATCTCTTAATCTCACTATGTTGAAAAGATTATTGAGAAATTTAGCACTGTGACGCCCCTGGGTTCACACAAGGCTGCAGTCCGAGGTGAAACCAGAAATGTCAAACCTGCCATGCACCACACCGTGCAATAACATGTTTCACCATCACATTTACTATCTCTCTAGTGGAATCAACAACAGGTGTAGTACAAAGCAAGTAAAAGATTATACAAGAATCAACTGATGAAATAATAGAGATTTAATATTTCATTATCTAATATACTGGAATACAAGTAAATGTCTGAAATAAATGAACTGGAGTCCTCAACAAGTCTCAAATACAAAATGTCTGACAAAGGGAAATAAGGCACACAGCCTTTAAAATTTCTAGAATAAAACTCTCACATGTCTACACAAAAGTCTACAGTGGAGCTCAAAAGAAAATATAACTAAATAGACGGCTAAAACTAAAATGCGTCGCCATCAACCTGCGACTCTCCGGGCCCCTGGCTCGTTACCTGAAAGGGGGAGGGACAACGAGCGTCAAAGCGCTAGCGAGCATCATCACAACCAACCCCAAAGGATAGGGCTCGTTGTATATGAAAATACAGTGAATACATAATATTCTAAAATCATAGATCCTAACAAAAGAGGATTTTAGTATTTAGAGATTTACAACACGAGCATAGGTACGTCGAGCGAAATAATCCAAACAAGGAAACCCTCATGTATATACCTTGTATCTCAAATTGTAAATCCCTAAACACCAAACCCAAAATCTAATACAGGAATAATAATAAAGAGAAATACAACCCATCTCAAAACTTAAATACCGTGTCATGTCATAACCGAATAAGTGTCAAAGGTCAAAATTACATAAGTGTCATGTACAGCCTAGGTAGCTATCATGTCCAAATCTCATGTAATCATGTCATGTCCTGATTTAGATAAGTGTCATACTCATAGCTTAACAAATGTCCAAGACGTGGTCAAATATGTAAATGTCCAACACGATGACTGAAATGGATTATAGTCCAACACGAGGACTTTAGTGGATTATAGTCCAACACGAGGACTTCAATGGATTATAGTCCAACACGAGGACTTCAATGGATTATAGTCCAACACGAGGACTTCAATGGATTATAGTCCAACACGAGGACTGTATATATAAACCATGGAATACTAGAAGTAAAGGTATACATATTCTACTCTTGTGCATGCCTCACGGTACAGATCTAAGCTTGTGTCAGAAAAGTCATCTCATATGTGTAGATGAAAACATGAATACTACAATTTAATACTCGATAAACAAGGCAACTACTCATGTTCAACAAAAGTTCAATAGAACCCTCGATCATATATGAACACTGTATGAAAGTATAAGCATAGTAGTTGATCAAGCAGAAATACAAACGAAATAGGAAAAACTCCGATGAGTCGACTCAAATCAGCACATCTGCAGTTTTCTGCAGAACATAGCATTAGTAAAATGAGAATATCTTTCTCTGGACAAACTCTTTTTAAGAATAGTTTTTCGTTTTGGAAACTAGACTCACATAGATATCATTTGACACTAATTTGGCTCAGTTTGGAGTTCATATGATATTTCAAATTTCCAGTCAAACATTTTATATGTGCAGCAGATTTTCTGCAGGATATATCATCAGTAAAATGAGTATATCTTTCTCTAGGAAAACTATCTTTAGGTATGGTTTTCTGTTTTGAAAACTAGATTCACATATCTTTCAATTGGCATTAGTTTGGTTCAATTTGGATTTCATTTGTTATTTCAAATTTCTAGCTCAATAGTATATGTGCAGCAGATTTTCAGCAGAACATAACAAGCATGATTATTTGCACAAGAAATCATATGTAAACCTTCAATCATGCACAAAACTTTAAAACGAAGCATAAGACATCTAAATTCAGATAAACGATATTTTAAATTATTTTCAGATCTTAAAACACTTCTATAAATTCGTGCTTAATCTCTTTAACATGAAAAGACCTAGTCTTCATACATATATACAAAAGATCCAATTTTTATACACAAAATAATTGATTAGGCTCTATAAAACTCATTAAAAACTCTTCAAAAATATTTTAAAAACTGGGAGGGGGATTAGTAGAGATGATACTCGCCTGGGGTTGGAGGAAAAACTTGTTAGAAGCAACGTCGAAGGAGAACTCCACTCCAAAAGCCAAAAAAAAATCAACAAAAACCCAACTTGAAAGCCTCCAATCCTCTCCAAGAATTCAAAATAGGGTTTATGGGTGTTTGGTGGCTGTTAGGGTTCTTAGATATGATAAAAGAAAGGAATTTTCGTAAAAAATATAGGTATTTATAGAGACAAACCCGAAACAAACCTGTTAGACCCGAACCAGGAAACCTAGTCTGACTAGAAAAATACCCCTTCGGTATTTTGGCTATAACTTTCTCATACGACCTCGGAATAAGGTGATCTAAGATTTTTTGGAAAGCTCTTGAAGATACCTACAACTTTGGTATTATACACTTTTCCATATTCTTAATGAATCGGTGTAAAAAATATAGAAACTCTCAACTGGTCAAAATTCCCAGATTCTCACTCTTGGCCTTTGTGCATGATTTGTGTATTTGTACTCACATATATACATATATACATTGAATTGATCTCAAATCAATTCCTAGCATACTCAAACATCATAATATATTATTTATAAATGTATAACATATTTATTAATATTTATCATAAAGTATTCAAATTTTCGGGGTTTTACAAGATGACTATCCATCTTTGGGTTTTGCCGGTCCCTTGAAATGCTAGGTGATGTTGTTGAAGACATTGCACTAGAATATGAAGGAGATGTAACTCGAGAAGCACATTATAATGCAGAGTTGTGTTTAAAACTGGTATTTTTATTCTTGCTTTTAGCCATATTGTATAAAATTGTGCAGAGCATGCGTGCATCAATTCCTTTCTTGTCATTATAAAGATGAATAAAATTATCAATTGTAAAATTACACTTTTATTTATATTTCCACTGAAAAGGTTTGGAACCGAGTTAAATGGTCTTTCTACATACTAACACTAATAATTTGATACCCCATTTACGAGAAAATATTCATTTAGAAATAAGTGTAATATACTATTTTGATTTATATTCTTCTAATACATTGAAAAATGAAAATCTAAAAATTCTTGAAGGCAAATTTATGAATCAATATTACATGTCAAAATATAATTAAGTCTTAGTATATAATCATCCTTTTAATAGTGATATAAGATTTGTAAAAAAAAAGTGGTGCTCTTTTTGGGTCTTCACTAGCTATCATGTGTTTGTTTAAACATCTTTATAAACTCCAAATTAGTTTAAAAAGATTTAATGAATAAATTAGAGTGAAATGCTAAACTAAATTTTCAATTTTAGCTAAATCTAAAAATTTATACCACGCGCATTGCCCGTGCAATGCACCTAGTTATCTAAAAAGCTTCTAGAAGCTTGCATAACTTATAAACTACAAAAACTTAGTCCTTCCAACGCACACCCTCCCTCACTTGGTTAGTGATGAAGCTGGAATCGACTTGTGCCGGTTTCAATGTCTTTGGAAGAGGAACGGGTTGTCGCCATCAAAGGCATTAACTGTGGTGAATCGAAGAAGATGAGGTGGTCCAGAGAGCAACATAAAATACTTGGTGAGCATTTCAGCTCACGTGATATGCACGTGGAAACCCCTAGTTTAAAATGTGGATGAACCCATCCGGAATTTGCAGTCAAAAATGCACGCGTTTATTTTCTCCGGCATCAGCGTTCTTTGCGGCATTTCGTCGAGCACCTTGCCAGCGTTGCCAAGATCAGAAATTTTCGGCAGAGGTGTACTTTATCCTCCCTAATCCCTTAATAATGAGAATAACCTTCATTTTTGGCCCATTTACGTTGATTATTTTGGCTAGTAAATGTATCTGAATAATTCATTCTCTTCAATTTCTGTTTGTAACTGTTGCAAGTTTGAAAACTTGCTGCAAATATGAACTTTACATAGAAATGATAATGTTTTGATAGTGAGAGATGGCTCGGTAACGATTTCCTCGCAGGCATAGCTTCAACAAGGTAAGAACAATTGATGAAGATGAGTAAGAGGAATTAGTTGGGGAATTAACCGTATATGAATCGTATTGTATATCTATCGCCTTGTTACTTGCATTACCCTGTTAATTAGCTTCATTGAAATTTGGCCTCAGAGCTTAGTCTCTCATCCCTTTGCTCCATAACTTCGATATCGACTTTGGCTTGCAGTTGGAAGTTTATAACCATCCCACATTCATCTTCATTTACTATCTCCCATGTGGGCTCAAATTGCACGTTACATTAGTAGACACATTGATGCATTATTCAAAACACTGGTGCACTGGAAAACCCTGGAAAGATAAAAGCTAAAAACATTAACTAGCGGGAAAACTAAAGTTTCTTTCTGGTATCAACTGAATCTTAACTTAAGTTTTCCATGCCTATCTAGACTCTAGACAAAACTCGTGAAGCATGAGACAATAATCTAGTCATAAAGAGCTACCAGAAAACTTGCTGGAAGGCAATTGCTTGAAAGTGGGCTTATTTATCGGCTCAGATATCATCTTTTTGACCGTGCACTAGTTAACATGGGCTCGGAGTCTGCCTTTAACCCTGCAAAGTATCGATCTATTACCGTCTTTGAGCGAGCAAGGAAATGAGATGGTAGATTTCTGGCATTAGGTTCTGATATAAAGTTTACTCCAGTGTTTCAGTATGCTGTGGAACTAATATTTTAAAATGGTCCTATTTATCGACTCAGGTATCATCTTTTTGATGCAGCTCATTGAAATTGGCAGAGATTGCAGATGTGGCTGTAATAGGCATACACCAGCCTTCCTGCTCAAACATAAGATCAGAAGGAAATAGAAGAGATCACCCTCAAAGGGACATTTCTTTGAATAAAACTGAGAAAACTAGAAAACTAAAGGATCTTTCTATATCGGAGAATGGCACACAAAGATCCTCTAATCAGGATGAGATCATTGCACTACTCAAAAGGATACAAGTTTCTATCTCAAGAGGACAATCTACTTCTTCTAGAAGGACAAATCAAAATATTTCAAGACAGAAGAAACCAGCCAAGTCACTGTTGAGAACTCTTCGACGACATCCAAGGAAAAAGCAAACAAAAGGTATATAGTTGACTTGTTTGAAGTGGCTTCTCTTTTGTTCCTTGTTACTGATACTATCTAATTAATCTACATGGATTTTTGAATAACTGATAATGGGCGTTCTATGAAGGGTGAGAGTTGATACTAACCTAAGGCAATTCGATTCACATATAGAATTAGTTGTAGATACACACCATACACTATGTGAGGGCATTTCTGAGCACTAAATATTTTATATTTATCACCTACACCTCTTGAACTCCAGTTCGTATTATTTCTTCCCTTACGTTGAGATGTCACGCGGGAATCACATAGCAATATATTGAGGGAAAAACTGGACTAAATTGCTATCAGGTTGATTGAGAAAAGGACTAAATTGAACTCTAAATTGAGGGCAAAAAAATAATGACATTGTCGGTGATATATGTGAAATTTGCATTTTCGACCTTAGGAAGCAAATAAAAACGGCTAACTAGCACATAAATACAATTATTTTGAACGGTGCTAATTGATGGTCCAAGTTTAAACCACATTATTCCGATCAATTTAATAGTCACAAATGTCCTTCTCTCTCTCTCGGATCACAAATGAATAACTTTTAATACATAAAATATGATTTTTTTACATCAAAACCAAATTTATTTTTACCCAAATTGATACTTATCATATTTAAGATTTTTTTAATGTAAATCACATTTACTTACAATATGCTTGTAATGTCACAATTTTTTAGTGTTAACCCACGTAAACTCAGATATTCCCATTTTAACCCTATCTTCTTCCCTCCTAACCCTAACCCTAGACTCCTCCATCCTCCTCTTCTGCAAATCATAACTCTAAATCTAATCCATGATAGTCAACTCCCTCAAATGTGGAGGGTAAAATGTGGAGGGTTAGGGTTAGGATTTGTGAGTAGGGAAATAAAAAAGAAGAAAATATGGAGGGTAAAATGGTCATTTCGTGTATTTTTTTGGTTGAAAATTGAACTAGGTGTGAAATTGTAAACATGTTAGCAACTAAGGTGGCTTATGTGTAAAATAAACTTTTGTCGGTGATTATATATGTGAAATTTGCATTTTCGACCTTAGGAAGCAAATAAAAACTGCTAACTAGCACGTAAATACAATTATTTTGAACGGTGCTAACTAGCTTGATGGTCCAAGTTTAAACCACATTATTCCGATCAATTTAATCATACTCCCTTTAAAAGCACTCTTTTTTAGACAAATATACCCCTTTATAGTTTGAACTACCTTATCTATAATCAAATTCTAATTTTCAAGTTTGAACTACCTTATCTATAATCAAATTCTAATTTTCAATAGTCAATATTACCCTTCACTATTTTGAATATTTTATTTATATCTTAATCTATCCTAATCTAATTTTCAATAGTCAATATTACCCTTCACTATTTTGAATATTTTATTTATATCTTAATCTATCCTAATCTAATCATATCTTATCCTAATCCTATGTGAACCATGTTTAGCTTAACAATTAAAAAATAATAATATTAATAAAATATATAAAACATAAAAATGACATTAGTTTGTTAAGATAAAGAAATTACAAGTAGATAACATATTATAATACATGAAGTATTGCAAAAAACCCATAAAAAAATTTAAAATTGCAGAAAAAACCCTGAAAAGTTCAAAATTAAAAAAATTATCCTAATGTCTCAAAACTTAAAATAAAAAACATGAAATTAAAAAATTAACATCAGTTTGCAAAGAATTTAAAATTTACAGTTAACACCTCAATGTCTCAAAAATTAAAGAAACACCCTCAAAAGTTTAAATTACAGACAAGCACATTAAATTTTTAAAATTTTAAAACTTACAAACAACACAGGTGAATTCAAGAGATTACCATGATACACCTAAAATTTTTAACATTTAAATTTAAATTTTTTGATTAACACCATCAATATCTCAAAAATTATAGAAACATCTTCAAAAGTTCAAATTATAAAAAGCCACCCTAAAATTCTAAAATTTGTAAATAACATAAGATGAATTCAAGATATTACCCTTAGACACCTGAAAAATTAAAATTTGTCGAAATTAACCTCAAAATTTGTAAAAAAAACTCCTTCAAAATTTAAAAATTGTAAAAAATCTCTAAATTTTTAAAAATTTTAACTAGCGTACATCAAATTCGTCGATTGGTAGATCGCTAAAATTTAATATTTTTTAAAATTAATCTATAGTTTTAATAATTATAAAAGACACCCTCAAAATTTTAGAGTTATAAGAAATATAATAACATTTAAAAAATTACCACCAACACATGAGATATATAATTTACAACTACCAAACTTAAAAGTAATTTTTTTTAAAAACTCTTTCAAAATTTACAAATCACATCCTCAAAGTTTAAAACCACAAAAATTGGCTAAAATTTTAAAACTTGGCAAAGAAAAGTGTAATTGTTTGGTATTTTTCACACACACACAGTTGATACTGGTAAACAAAAATAATAAGAATTGATTAAAAACATCCGGTTAATGGATAAAATTTTTAAATTTATTATAAATTAAAAATTATCGGTACTATATAAATTAAATTAATTTTATATAATTTTAGTAATAAGTTGGGGTAGCCAAAATACATTTGTAACATTAATTGATAGATGTTTAAATTCATAGAAATAATAAAACACTATAATATTATACCTTAGCATTAATTGATATTAATTTAGAAACTTTAATCTTTGACGTTAATAATATTTATAGGGTAAAAGAATACAAGGAATTACATATGGAGACACTATTAGAATATTTAGGGATAACTTTAAAATAATTGAGTTATTTTCATTGCAAATGGAAAAGTGATGGAAATAAATCTAAAAATCAAAAAACGTTAATGAACCACTTGAATTGGCATTAACATAAGATATATCTATTAATGAAGCACTGAATGAGTTATATTAAAAAACAATTTAATAACTTTATCCTAATCAAAGAAAAAAATCTCCATGGAAGACATAAGAAAAATTAGTAAGTATTCATAAATTCCATACCGTGTTCTTCAAATTAAATATTAATATTATAATCTAAGAGAAATTGGTAATGAATAATGCATGTATTTAGTTTAGATATTTATGGAAAATGACAGGGATAGAGCAAAGATAATATTATTGAAATAACAGAAATTCTTATTGGATGCACATCAGAAGAATTCATTTTAGAGGAAAAAAAAGAGATAGCTTCTAATTTATTTAAGTAATAAATTAGGAACACAAAGAATTTTATATATATAAAATTAATATTTATTCTCATTAAAATAGAAAAAAAAATCAAAGTCTTTATTTTGAGCAGTTTGTGTTGAACATCATAAGTACATTTGACTTCTTTATAAAGTTAAATGAGATGATAAAAAATTAACGAGCCCAGGAAAGATAATAGCATAAAAAATATAAAATTGGCCTGATGTCACAATTGATGTAGATAATGAAGACAATACTCTAGAATTGCCCGAAAAATGATAAATGATAAACCTGAAGAATGATTGATCTTAACTCAATATAAAATAAAATAGAAGAAATAAAAAATAATATTTTCTGAATATTTTATAGAATAGTTTAATTATTTTGAGTGAAATTAGGAATCTTTAGAAGGGAGTTTCATGAATTTTTTCAGTACTTTTATATTCTTATGTGGATGTTTTTATCATATAAAAGTATACTAGAGTTAGCATTAATCTTTAATTTATATTTTTTTATGAACTCTATCAATGATTAGGAATAAACTTCATATTCCCTTTTGCATCGTTTAAACATACTTTAAATCAATCATTTTGCCATATTGGTTTTAAATATTCACCTTCATTGTATAACATTATTTTAATATTTTTCACTTTGCAATGCTATACTTTCTCAAATAAATCTTAGTTTCATATCGGTCAAAAATAATATAAAAATTTAAATTATTTTTAAATTATATTTGTTTTTTGTCAATTCAAATATCAATATGAAAATTTAAATTAGGTGTATCTCATTTAAACAAACATAAAACAATAATTGGGATGTAAGAGTTTAAAGGAAAAAATCAGCACAAACTGCCAAAAATACTTAATCATGGTATTAAATCACGTGCATTGCACGTGTATAAAAACTAGTAGTCACAAATGTCCTTCTCTCTCTCTCTCTCTCTCTCTCTCTCTCTCTCTCTCTCTCTCTCTCTCTCTCTCTCTCTCTCTCTCTGATCACAACTGAATAACTTTTAATACATAAAATATGATTTTTTTACATCAAAACCAAATTTATTTTTACCCAAATTGATACTTATCATATTTAAGATTTTTTTAATGTAAATCACTTTTACTTACAATATGCTTGTAATGTCACAATTTTTTAGTGTTAACCCACGTAAAATCAGATATTCTCATTTTAACCCTATCTTCTTCCCTCCTAACCCTAACCGTAACCCTAACCCTAGACTCCTCCATCCTCCTCTTTTGCAAATCATAACTCTAAATCTAACCCATGATAGTCAGTTCCCTCAAATGTGGAGGGTAAAATGTGGAGGGTTAGGGTTAGGATTTGTGAGGAAGGAGATAAAAAAGAAGAAAATATGGAGGGTAAAATGGTCATTTCGTGTATTTTTTTGGTTGAAAACTGAACTAGGTGTGAAATTGTAAACATGTTAGCAACTAAGGTGGTTTACGTGAAAAATAACTTTAAATGTGGTAAATATTAATTTGGGTAAAAGAAAATGTAATTTTAATTTAAAACCCCTAAAAAGTAAACAGTGTTAACTTTCCCATCCTAACTTTCGCTAGGGTTTCTATTGTATTTTTTTACTCTTTACTATTTTCGGAGAGCTTTAAACTTGGACATTGGAGGGAGTAAGGGAGTCCTCAATCTCGGGGATCATTCTGGCGGAACCTAATGAATTATTTTAGCGTGCAGGTTAAAGCAAAGACGACGGATTCTAGCCATTATTGGATTATTGTATGCCCAATTTTTCTTATTCATCCCCCTTAATTGATGGGATAGCATGTGAGAAATTTACTGTGTTACAACGCAACTTTATTATAAGACTACAGATTTTGGAGCAGTCTCAACTTTGTCATAAAACTATAGATTTTTGCGGTCGGTTGAGTGGATGGTCTCCCGTCTTCTCCATGGGTAATCGTTTTGTTTTAGGGTTTTTACATAGATACCCTCCAAATCAGCCATATTTCCAAACTTACTACAAATCTACATATTTGCTAGTTTACCCCAGTTCTAGTTAGTTGCCAGTTCACCCCTCAATTACCGGACCATTCCAATTGATGAACTTATCACACAATATACTCTATTATTACCTGCACAATTTATTCATAATTTAAATGGTAAAGCATGGTATATTTTCCAGAATGTTCAGCAGACATTTTTTTCTAACTGGAAGTCCATCGCAGGTATCCAGCCAGACCTAAAAATATTATTAATGTTATGGCTGTAATGCCTCATAAGAAAAAATGTTTTTTTTTTGTTGGGCGTGGTTGAGAGGAGGTTGTCAAACCCTTACTCCAAACTCAACTCTCACAAACAAACTTGACCCGAGGCCCGTGCTTTGCTTGACCTTAGGAATAATCCAAAAGAGCAATCTTAAAATCCGAAAGAAGGTACATCAAACTATAAAAAGATATCCAAATTACCATTTCTTGAACAATGAGCTGTTGGGGATTGTAGTCTCCCCGCCTACTGCGATCCGCACAACTCGGAAGCCAACCCGCAATCAATAAAATAGAAAATAACCATAATCAAGAAGAAAGAACACCCAGATTTACGTGATTCAGTCGACCAACTTCGACCTACGTCCACGGGCAACAATACGAGAAATCCACTATGTATCAGGAAGAACTACAAGAGAAATCAGTCAACTCTCGTCTCTCAATCTCTCAACCTCACATACATAATCATTTCTCATATTATCTTCAAAACCCTCTTCTTACAATCTTTTGAACGGACAAAGATTGCGAAACCCTCTCTCAATGATGTAATCTTTTGCACGGACAAAGACTATGAAACCCTCGTCTCTCGCATAATATTCTTGAATCAGGCTACGCCCTCTGCTAACTTTAAATTACAAGAATATTGGCTCTCTCTCCTCTCATTTTGTTTTTTTCCTCCAACAAAAGCAGAATATATATAGGGAAACCAAAACTCTATCTCTAGCCGAACTTCCTAATTAGAATAGGATCCAAACTCCTAATCATGATGAGACCCAATCTCCTAATCATAATAGATCTCTAACCCTATCAAATTCTCATGAAGTAATCAAAGACACAATCCTAATAATCTCCATATTGGATTTGATTCCTAACTCCCTTGAAGATATATCACCGTCGTCTTGAAACTTTGCCTCTCCTACTAGAGTCTTCTACTTCTTTCACACTTCAAATCGAAGCACTTGCACTCTAACTGCGACGTCCTGTGACCTTCGATATCTTCTGCTTCACCGTGGCGCCTCCACCTCTCTTGTGTACACCAAGAGAACTTTACCACCTCTGACATTAGAAGCAAATTAATCAACCATGCTTCTCCACCTGAACTGAACTTGACAGTAGCCTTCCCCAACTTGTTGTCCTTGTACTCCATCCGCATCACTCGTTTCCAACTATATTAGTGCACCTCACCTACTCCACACTACGATCTAGATGCCTCCATCTCCTCACTTGACTTGGACCGAATATGAGAGCTCATCGTCTTCAAGTCAAATGCCACCATCTCCAACTCTATGTACATATGTCACTCAGTCGTACCTGCTTGCAAGCTTCACCTAATGTTGCACTGTCCTCCTCAAGTCTATACACAAACAACTCTTGCTCCCGTAATGACTCTGAATAATTATATTCTGATAACTCTACTGATAGAAAAAAGTTAATTTTTTTTGACGGTCTGCTCGGTGTACGACAGCAGGCGATCTGTGGCGATCTGTTTGCTAGTGTGCGCCCCCGCCTTGATTGAATGAGGAAGAAGAAGAAGAGTGCAAGCAAGAGAGTCTCAAAGCTAAGGGATTCTATGTTCATTTACCCTTCTTCTCTATCGAATGATATCGATGATTCTGGAGCTTCTTTGAGCTCAATGGTGAAGGAAAATACGGGACCGAAGGGAGCAAAGAAGAAAGTATTGATGGAGGAATCCTCACCAGATCAAATCCGCTATCAGATCCTCAGTTGCCTCAGCTTCAATCTGGCGGTGTTTTGATTCCTCGACAGCTAGGTAAATCCTTAATCTCTAACCTCTGGTCGGATGAAGTAGAAGAAGTTCTTGAATATGAATTATCTGGAAATTTCCCTCGTAATGAGATGATTTCTAAAAATTCTGAAGTGGATCAATCCAAGATTGATAGCATTGAGAATGTAAATCCAATCTTGGTTGAGGAAACTCTGGAGGTGGAAAAGAGCGAGGGTGAAATCTCAGTTTAAGAAATCAAGATTAATGAAGATGGACATAAAAAAAATGAATCTAGAAATTCTGATAATGTGAAATCCTTTGCAAGTTTATTTTCAGATAACAAAAAGATTAACAATGGTCTAAATCTCAATTATGTTCCATCCTCCCAACCGAATGTTGTTGAGTTTTCAATGAGGGATGGAAGGAGGGAGAAAATTTATGGAAACATGCTTTGGTAGGACATGTTAAAGGGCTAAATGTGGGATTTAAATCTATGGAAGCATATGTGAACAAAATCTGGAATAAAATCTCTATTCCACAAGTTCTCATGATCAAACAGGGTGTTTTACTATTTGATTTTCCCTCTGAATATCTTATGAATGAAGTCCTTGCAGTCCTTGGTTTTATGGTTCTAGGCCATTGGCTTTAAAGCCATGGAGTGTGGATATTGATGTGGAGAAATTGCAGGATGTCTGCTATCATATGTGGGTGTAATTCCCAAATTTGAAGCTGAATTTATGGACCCCTATAGGAATAAGTAAGATTACAAGTCTAATTGGTAATCCGATTATAGGCGTCAAAAAATGCCTATAGGTGTCCGTACACAGCTTGAGACAGAGAGAAGACGACGAACATCGTTATCCGAGTCTAAGAGGATTATCTGACGCCGACAAGCGCCTGAAGCAAAACGGCGAATCAAGTGACCTACACGCTCGACAGTCAGCTCGTGCGCGCCAATCAGCTCGCATGCGTCAATCAACATGCGCGCGTCAATCAGTTCATGAGCGTCGATCAACACGCGCGTGACGATCAATTCGTGCATGTCGATCAACACGCGTTCGACGGTCAATTCCGCAACGAAGCGTACAAGTCAACAAGACAATCAATTACGCAAAACGGCAGAAAATACAAGTCCCGGAAAGACCAGAAAACACCAGAGCTCAGCAAAAATTCGAAACACCGCGTCCGCGCGGGTCGGACCGCGTCGACCCGCGCCCGCGCGGGTCGGCCAAGTCCGACCCGCGGCGGCGCGGGTCGGACCAAGCCGACCCGCGCCCGCGCGGGTCGGTCATGGCCGACCCGCGGTGGCGCGGGTCGGCCAAGTCCGACCCGCGCTCGCTACTTCAACCCATGTTCGGTTTTTTGACGGTTTTCTCGGGATTTTTCAGTTCCAGAGGTTCCCAACTGACTTGATATCATCTACAAACGTGGTTAGGCTGCTATTAACTAAAGATAAGGCCAAATTACTTGTTCTCATCCAAATAACCGCTTCTGAAGCCCTATAAATACAAGCCTAGGGCCTTATTTCTGGGGGGCGATTGATTATCAAGACGAGGAGGTGCTGCCGGATTGTGGAGTCAAAGGAGCACGAATTTCAGCGTGGGTTGACAGATATTGGCGAGTTCTTCGGCATAAAGAAGGAGAGTTCGAGAGATCCGACGCCCGTTCTCGTCCGTCCCTTGAGATTAGGCTTGGTCTTAATCTCGAGAAGAGCCCTGATTTCGCTTGGTCGATCTCAGCGCTTCAAATCAAATACTTCCTCGGCGAAGACGAAACTCTGCCAAATTTTCCATCAACCGGATCCAGATCTAAGGCGGTCCACGGATAAACCCCGGCACAGGCAAAGATCCCACGCAAAGCAGCGGGTGATAAACGTCCTCTGCGTTTGTTTTGACGAGAGTTGTAACTTTTTATTTTCATTGTGTAAAAGTCTTATAAAAAGACAATCTTTTTGGTTTTCATTGTAACGACTAAAGTTGTAATGAATACCGCAATGAATACATCAATTTTCGACGCAAACACCGATAACCACAGATAAATGTATAGCAAAAAGGGAAAGATTGACCTATGCCAGAGTGTTAGTGGAGGTGAATTTACCACTTAAAGAACCCTTGCCTGATCTGCTCACTATAAAAGAGTCTAATGATAAATGCTTCACACAAAAAGCGGTGTTTGAGCTTAAGCCCAGATGGTGCACTTCTTGCAAAATTATTGGTCATACAATTGATTACTGTAAGAGGCAAAAAATAAGAAAAGAGTGGGTAGCTGTTAACAAAAAGTCTGATACTTGTGCACAAAAAAATGACTGCCTCTGGAGATGCTGCAGGCAGAATATCTGGAGACAAAGTGGCTAGGGTTTCTGAACTAGTACATCAAGATCAGAATTAAAGGGGTTTGGGAAAATCTACCAACCCAGTTGACAAAGTTCAGGTCTATGGAAATGTGCAGGCTTCTGGAAAACAGGTCTCTGGAAGTGTGCAGGTTTCTAGAAAACATGCACAAACAGTGCACATTAGCCAAACTGGATCTGAGTTGGTTTTCTCTTCTCCAACTGTTAACTCGACTGATTTTTCTAGTGCCAACAGAGGGAAAACTCTAAGAAGAGCCAATCTCAATGCTAAAGATGCAGTATGTACATCATTTTTCCAAGCATCTCTTTTCTCCCCTTTGGATCATCAATTGCATAGTCTAGACCCCTTTGAAAGGGGTGGCTTATCTTTTTAATGCAATTAGCATTTTGGAATATTAGAGGATTTAACAAATCCTCTAAACATATGATAGTGAAGCATTTTATCAACCAATATAAGCTTTCTC